TTATGTTATTTAACTGGGTAACCAAGGAATCCATATCCCAGGCTTCTCCTTCCAACACAGACTCCTTAGGGAGACAAGACGGGAGACAGAAAGCTGAAAGGATTTCAACTTGGTAGTAAAATTAAAGGCTGCACAGAGTGGAGACATACTAACACAAAAGATCAGTTAGAAATGGAATGAGAGGGCACTTGGGTGGCTTAGTCAGTTAAGCGTCTGCCTTCAGCTCAGGTCATAATCTCAGGGTCCTGGGATCAAGTCCCACATTGGGTTCTCTGCTGAGCAGGGAGTCTGCTTCTCCCTCTCACTCTCCCTCTGTGCTTTCTCTCTCTCCTTCTGTCCCTCTCAAATAAATAAAATCTATAAAAAAGGAAATGGAATGAGAATGGTGTATAAATATATTTAAATATATATATTAGTGTGTGGAAAGCTCAAAAGAGAACACAAGCAACTGAGCACTAAATTTCATTTTTGGCTGGGTTTTGAACAACCAATGTGAAAAGGAAAAGAGAATATGTAATTTTACATTTCAGGAAATTCTGGCTGAGAGAGGATGGCACCAACAGTCACGTACACCTTTGGGTAGTATGGACATCTTAAGAATAGTTAAGTCATCCAATCCATGGACAAAGTATATCTTCCATTTATTTGTGTTTTCTGTAAAGGGCCAGACAGTAACTACTTTAGGTTTTGTGGGCCACACAGTCTCTTGCAATGACTCAACTCTGCCACTATAGCATGAAAGCAGCCAGTAACAGACAAAAAGTAAACAAATTAATGTGTTTGGGTTTCTTAAAATTACATTTAAGGATACGAAGATACGAATTTCACATTAATATTCATGCATCACAAATATTTTTCCAATCACTTAAAACTATAAAGAATTATTCTTTTTTTTTTTTTTAAAGATTTATTTATTTGAGAGAGAGAGAAAGAGAGCACAAGTGGAGGGAGAGGGAGAGAGACAATCCTTAAGCAAACTCCCCACAGAGCCCAATGCAGGTCTCGATCCCAGGAACCTGAGATCATGACCTGGAGCTGAAATCAAGGGTTGGCTGCTTAACCAACTGAGCCACCCAGGCACTCCTATAAAGAATTATTCTTAACTCCAAAGGTGGAGGGCCAGATTTGACTCCGGGGCCATAATTTTCCAAGCCCTCCCTAAGGCATTCATGGTATATCATGATCTTGGTTCTCTCCTATACATCTAAAATGGTACTAGATTTGTACCATTCTTGGAAGAAATGAAAAAAGAATCACTCAAATCATGTTCTATAGGTTTAATTCTCTTATAGAATCCAGTTAAGAATGGCTGCATTTTAAGTGATAAAAATTAAGAGTTTAAAAAAAAAACTGGTTAGGATATGAAGCACAAGGACTCTTACACATGGGTAGCTGAAATGTAAACTAATATAACCATTTTGGAAGATAATTAGGGATTGTTGGGGTAATCTCTGATGGGCCCTCAGTGTCCCTGCATGTTTTTTTCTGAAAATGCCAAGAATATCAGGCCCTGACTCTTTACCCAGGTCATTTTTCATTTGCAATGAGCAACACTGAGAAATGCATTGAGCAGGCTTATCACCACTCATTATTAAGTGTTCCTCTCTGTTAACGTAACCAGTTACCTGTGTGTCTAAGTCCACTTGTGTTATTCCAACACGTCTACCTCTTGTGGATTTGGAAGCCAAGGAAACCATTAGGAACCTAAATCTTTGGCTACTACTTTTGCCATAATTTTCTTTTAAATCCTGTGTCTGGTCCAGGCATCAAGCATCTTCTGCCAGAATCAAATAAACAATATCAGGCCAACTTGTTAGCTTGCAAGTAGGATAAAATCTCAGACTTTTCAGAGTTCTTGACAGGAAGTATCTACCAAAGTTGAAGATACACAACCAGCAATCAAACTCCTAAGTTTATACTGAAAAGAAATGCATACAACGTGTATTAAAAGATTTGTACAAGAATGTTCATAACAGCATTTTTAAACTTTATTCCTCATACTCTTGCTTAAATCTTTAATCTATCTTTCAAGGCTAGAATGATTCATGTGGTAATGGATTAGAGTTGGCAACATCAGTATGAAATCACTATCAGCTTAACAGAAATACAAATGAATATATATAGAAATACTCATAGATGTGTGGTCATACATGGATTAGTACACACAAGTATGTATTTCTTTGCTCTGTTATCTGAGAGGGGCCTAAAAGAAATGATACTTTCTCAGCAACAATCACACCTACCAGTCAGACTTTGGTTTCTAGTACCATTCTCCAATAAAAAGAAGCAGGGCTCTTTGGAGAAATGGCTTATTCTAGGACTGGGACAATAAATATACAAGCTGAGCCTAGAGTATTCTGTAGTGACAGAAAGGAAGGAGGTGATTAAAAACAAAAACAAAGGAAAAACTTACATTGAGATGAATATGACAAAAAGAGTAATCAACTGAAAGAGACTCCTACAGCCAAAGCTGGAACAATGTGAGTAGCAAACTAAGTAAAATAATATAATTCAAAGTATAAAACAAATATCCACACATCCATACTGATATAAAGGATTGAGTAAATTAATAAATGGGGGAGAAGAGACAAATCTCCTGACACTGCCTCCAAGAGACACTGGAGAAACATGATAGGTACTACCTCAGCCAGGTGGCAAGAGTCATTAAATAGTCATCAATCACGTTGACAGTATGTACCACTGATACAATGTAACCTTCCTCTCAATAATCCATAATCCTAGTCCTACCATGAGAAACACACCAATTCCAATAGTAGGGCATCCTATAAAATACTTGACCAGCACTCCTCAAAGCCATCGAAGTCATCAAAAACAAAGAAGGTGTGAGAAACTGTCACAGCCAGGAGGAACCTAAGGAAACATTGTAATTAAATGTAACGTGCTATACTGACTGGAATCCTGGAACAGAAAAAAAAGGACATTAAGTAAACAACTAAGGAAATCAGAATAAACTATGAAGTTTAGTTAATAATAATATAATAATAATGGTTCATTAATTGTGACAAATGTACCATATAATACAAAATGTCAGTAATGGGGAAACTAAACAGTATGTAGGAATACTGTGGACCTCAATTTTTCTGTAAATCTAAAACTATTCTAAAAAATAATGTCTATTAAAAAAAAAAATCCTGCCTCTCCTTCAAGGTCCATTAAAAAGCCTATCTCCTGCAAGAAACTATCCCTGATCCCCTCCAACTTAAATGAGACCTCTCCTTCCTTCCACCTCACACCAGCTCTGCTGAGCACCTACCATATTTTGCCCAACAAAATGATTTATAAACAGGTTTCATTTCCCCTAAATCATAAGCATCTTAACATCAAGTTTATATTTGTCATGTTATTTAATACAAAATTAGGTTGAAGCAAAATTGAGAAACCAACTAATCAAGATGAAAGTCACATTTAGTTACGGTTAGTAAGTCCTAAGGCAGTTTCATTCTACTCCTGAACAACTCTAATAATTAGAAAGTTCTTCCTGCTGGTCTGAAACCAAATGTTCTATAATTTCCTCATTTATTGCATGAATGAATGAATGACAACGAGCTCTATGAGAGCAGGGAACACCTTCTGTTTTACTTAATACTGTATCTCCAGCACCTTGCACGCAGTAGACACTCAAAAAACACTTGTTTTGGGGTTGCCTGGGTAGCTCAGTTGGTTACGTGTCTGCCTTCGGCTCAGGTCATGATCGCAGGGTCCTGGGATCCTGTCAGCAGGGAGCCTGCTTCTCCCTCTCCCTCTGCCCCTCCCCCCTGCTCATGCTCTCTAATAAATTTTTTAAAAATCTTAAAAAAAAACCCAAAACCACACATTTGTTTTTGAATGAGTAAATGGCTACCTGGCTAGGGAAAGGGCTGTAACTTTTATTTCCCCTCCCATACAATTTAATTTACTGTTTAGCTAATGACCACCCTCCTGATAATATACTCACATAATATATAGTCTCATATGTAGGTTTTACGAACAATTTAAACTAATTTAACTGAAGCTATGAGGTTTAGTAATTTTGTGCAATTGCAAGTGCGAAAGGAACTGCGATCATTAGATCCCCAAGGGTGTACAATTAACGACTAGAAATGAATCAAAAACTACGGCTGAGGCGGCAAGGTCGCCCCCGGAACGTCTGGGGAAACGCTCCTGGACTAGCAGCCAGGCCCGCGGCTCATCCAGTCCACAGCTCCGCGACTCTGGGCAAACCACCGCACTTCCAGTTGGCCTGCTTCCTCGTCGGAAACTAAAAGGCTCGGACTCAAGGCGTCTTTTTTTTTTTTTTTTAAGATTTTATTTATTTATTTGAGAGAGAGAATGAGAGAGAGCACATGAGAGGGGGGAGGGTCAGAGGGAGAAGCAGACCCCCCGCTGAGCAGGGAGCCCGATGCGGGACTCGATCCCGGGACTCCAGGATCATGACCTGAGCCGAAGGCAGTCGCTTAACCAACTGAGCCACCCAGGCGCCCATTGGACTCAAGGCGTCTTAAGTCTTTGCTGATTCCAAGGCCCTAGTATTCTCAGCTATTAGGGTTTTGTTTGTTTTTCTCAAGTTTTCAAATTCAAATCGGTTCAACCCTGCACAAAAACCTCCCGTAGATCGCGTTCCCGCTCAGTCACCTCAACTGACAAGTGATCTTCATGGCCGCGTCCATTCTTGAGATTCTCCCCCCCACCCACCCCGGGGCAGTTGGGGGGAACAGGTTACAAACAACAGCTAACGTAAATAAAATATAAATTCGCAGGCTGCACGACGACAGGGCTTCTGAAAAAGAAACACTTCTACAACCCTACATGAAAAAATGAGGAAACCCCTTTCCACACAACTCTCGAAGGAAGAAAAGAGTGGGGCGGATCCTCTCTCACTCCGCCAAAGCTCTGAGGTAAAGACTGCACCCCGGCAAGTCTGAGGAAAAAACACAGCCGCAGGAGAAGGAAGCAAGAAAAACGTTAAGAACCAGGTCCTCGGTAGCCGCAAACACACCTACCAGATCAGCGGGTCCCTGGGGCCACGTCGCCTCCCAAACTTCCAGAACGTTCCCCCAAGTCGCCGGAAGCACGGGGGGCGGGGCACAGAGGCCCAGGCGCGTTCGTGGCTACTCCAGCCGCGGTGCGCGCGCTCCACCGGCTGAGCTTCCGCGCAGGCGCAGACCTCGCTAACGATGGCCCCGCCTTTCCTACTCTTTAGCTTGCAAGGTTTTCACCAACTGCTTGCTAAGTGGTTAGGAAAAAGTGGAGGGGTTAGCTTGTTTTTTGCGTTTGACTTAGTCGCCTGGAGGTGACTCTTCACAACTTTCTAAAATGCAGGCTCAATTCTTTTACTGTTATTGACAATATGAAATCAAAGTGGCCTCAGGTTTATCCAAATTATGAAAAAATAAAGACGCACATTTTCATTCGTGGCCGTTAAGTATAACGTAGTAGAAGCCTGTGTGTTTACTCCTTTGGAATCCATTGCTTTCAGACCTGACCGCAACTCAGCAAATTATTAAGTGCTGGTGTTCACAACTGTAAAAATTGAAAAAAGAAAAGAAAAGCCAACACTTGCCTAGAACTTATGGTTGGGATGCCAAACTATTTATGACTTCCTTTGTAAAACACGTAATTGCTGGGGGAAAAACAATACTGCTCCAGGAAAAATCCTTTGGAGCGCACTTGTACTGTGGATTCATTATTCCCTGAAGTAACCATTTTGTAAGTTTAGAGTTGTATTACTGGTATTAAAATTAGGGGCACTCTTTTACTGCTGCTGTTGGACATTAAAGCCGGGATAGGAGAGGTCAAATCAATCAAGACCTGACTCCAGCCACACCGTGTGGGTTTCAGAACTCAAGGAACTGACACAGCTGCTGGTGTGGGCAGGAAGGTTGGGTCGCCAGAGGACCCTCCTTGGAAGGTCCTCATGTTTTGAACAGGCTAATTGCAGAGGGGCAGGAGAGGCATCCAAAATTAAGCCGCAGGGGGTCCCAACAAGTAAGAGTGCAGAATAGCCTTTCCTTTCTACCTGTTGTACTAGGAGACTTAGCCGAATTGAGAGCAGCAACTCCAGTTGAGGCAGTAAAACTGGCAAGTGCGAAGAAGGGTCCATTCTGGGGAGGGTACTGAAGTTCTGGGTAACTGACCAGAATAGGGAGGGAAAGAAAACTAATCTTATCGAGAACCTACTGTGTACCAAGTACTATACCAGATACTTTGCATACATGATTCTATTAATCTCCATAAAGGCTGTAAAGTATACGTTATTCTCATTTTAAAGATGAGGGAACTAGGGCTCAGAGAGATTAAGTTACTTGGCCAAGATAATATAGCTAGTAAAAAAAGGGCTGGGATTCAAACCTATGTCTAAGTCAGATGTCTAGGCCATCTTCCTACCTCTAGAGCTCCGCCTCCACACAAAGACCCAGGTATAAGAACTGGAAAACATCATTTAAGTCACATGAGTACAAAAATGACAGCAGAAAGCCATAGACTGTGGAGATAGTATTGATTGTTCATCCTTCCTTCCTTTAATTTATCCTTTTTTCTTTTTTTTAAAGATTTTATTTATTTATTTGACAGAGACACAGCGAGAGAGGGAACACAAGCAGGGGGAGGAGGAGAGGGAAAAGCAGACTCCCCGCTGAGCAGGGAACCTGACGCGGGACTCCATCCCAGGACGCTGGGATCATGACCTGAGCCGAAGGCAGATGCCCAATGACTGAGCCACCCAGGTGCCCCTTTAATTTAGCCTTAATTTTTTTTATTAAAAGAGAGATGGAGGGGCAGAGGGAGAGAGAGAATCCCCAGCAGGTTCCATGCCCAGTGCAGACCCCACGTGGGGCTTGATCCCACAAACCCAAGATCATCACCCAACTTGAAATCAAGAGTGGGTCACCCAACCAACTGAGCCACCCAGGTGCCCCAGTTCTTAATTTTTTCAATCAACAAATATTTGTGTAGAAAAACAGCCTAGTCTCTGGAGTCAAACAGCCTGGGTTCATATCATGCCTCCATCATTTATTTAGCTATGTGACCACAGATAAGTGACAGCTTCTTGGTTTTCCTATCTTAAAATAAGAATAATAATTGTGTCTGTTCATAGGTCAATATATGTAAGCTTTCTAAAACGGTGTCCAAAACGTAAGCACTCGATATGTTTACGTGCTATCATTATTATTTAAATGTTCCCTTAATGTTATCTTGCAGCTGTATGATATCTGCCCAGTCCATTCCTTCTCCCACTCTCCTAGATAACAGTTTCATACCTTCTCTCCTTTCTTCAAATCTCTAGCACCTTTTCCTCATCCTCACTTTCCACTGAAGGTCTTCCTTACTATTTAAATGAGAGAAATAAAAGCATCAAAAAGTGAACTTTCCACAGAGGCCTACAAGCACATTTAGCCATCTATCATCATCTTTAACCACAGATTCTGCTTTCCTTCCAATCATGGTAGATTAACTGATTAACTGTGAATGCTCTTAAATAAGGTCAACACTCCAGATGGACACTAGATCCCATCTCTTCTTGTTTACTCAAGAACATAGTTCCAACAGTTTTTCCCTGTCTCTCTTAAAACATCAATTTTATCCTCTCCACTGGGCCATTGTCATTAGGAAATAAATATTTCATTATTTCTCTCATCCTAAAATTTCTTGTTCCCTCTTCCCACTCCAGCTATCTACTACTCTTCTTTATAGTAAAACTCAAAAGGATTGTCTACAATTTCTGTTTTTAATGCCTCTTCTCCCATTCTTTTTTAAACTTACTCCAATGAGGTATTTTTTTTCCCACTATGCCACAGAAATTGTTCTTGTCATGGTCATTGTTAAATCTAGCAGACAATTTTTTTTAAAAGATCTTATTTATTTATTTGACAGAGAGAGATTGAGAGAGAGAGAGCACAAGCAGGGAGCATCAGGCAGAGGGAGAGGGAGAAGCAGGCTTCCCATAGAGCAGGGAGCCTGATGCAGGGCTTGATCCCAGGACTCTGGGATCATGACCTGAGCTGAAGGCAGACACTTAACTGACCAAGAGCCCCAAGCACAGCAGACAATTTTCAATACCAATTTTACTTAGTCAATCAGTGGCATTTGTTACAGTTGACCACTTTCTTCTCTTGGAAACATTTCTTGTATACCCCAATAGCATGCTGTCATGGTTTTCCTGTAACCTCACTAGGCACTTTTCAACAACTTTTACTGTTTATTTTTTCAATACCCAACCTCTTAGGACCCCCTCAAGTGTAGTCCTTGGAAATAGTTTCTTCTCTGGCTATATTCACTCTTTTGGTGGTCGCGTCAACTCATGGCTTTAGATATACGCCATATGCTGACAAATTCCAAATTTCTATCTCCAGCTTTAGCCTTTCCCCTAGACTCCAGGATGGTATAAGCAACTTCCTATTTAATATTTCCACTAAAAGACTTCTCAAATTTTGTACTTCCAAAACTAAACTAATTTCCCTCTGCAAATCTGTACCACCCATAGTCTTCCCCATCTCACTTAATAACTCACACTTCTCTTGTTAAATTTAAATACCTTGCCTGTTTCTTATATACTCCCTCTCATCCATCAGGAAATCTTGTTGCCTGTATGTTCAAAATACATCCAGACTCTCACCACCTCCCTGGTCTGAACCATCACTAATCACCTGGATTATTGCAATCACTTCCTAAGAGAGCTCCCTATTTATGCCTTGCCCCTTACAGTCCTTTTTCAACATAATAACCAGGGTAGTCCTGTTAAAATAGAAGTCAGAGGGGTACCTGGGTGGCTCAGATTGTTAAGGGTCTGCCTTCGGCTCAGGTCATGATCCCAGGGTCCTGGGATTGAGCCCCACATCAGGCTCCTGGCTCGGCGGGGAGCCTGCTTCTCCCTCTCCCTCTGCCTCTCCCCCTGCTCGTGCTCTCTCTCTCTCTGTATCTCTGCGTCTCAAATGAATAAATGAAATCTTTAACAAAATAAAATAAAATAGAAGTCAGAATTAAAGCTTATGTTCTTCTGATGACCTATAGGGCCTAAGTGCCAATTACTACCTAAACCCCTTCTACTACTATCTTCCTAATTTGCTCCTTCTGTTCCAGACACATTGGCCTCCTTCCTTTCCTCATTATCTCCAGGCATGCTCCTGCCTCAGGGCTTTTGCATCAGCTTTTCTGTCTAAGGTACTCTCTTCCCAACTGTATTCATAGTTCACTCTCTCTACTCCTTTAAATCCTACTTAACTATCATCTTCCCAATAAAGCCCACCTTGACTTCCTCATCTAAAATTAGAACGACTTCTGATCCCTCTTAACCTGCTGTGTTTTGTTTCATATCATTTGCTACCTTCTAACTTACTATTTAATATACATACTTACTGTGTTTATCGTTTACAGCTTTTCTTCTCTCACTAGAATGTAAACTGCACAAAAGCATGGACTTTTGTCTGTTTTGTTCACTGATGAATCTCTAGTACCTAGAACAATGTCTGCTACCTAATAAACACTAATAAATACACTTAAATGTTGAAGTATCATTTGCCTTGACATAGAAGGCACCTTCTAGTTCGTGTCTCAATAATAACATATCAGACTTCATTGAATGTTAGTGGCCATAATATGAATAGTACCAATGGAGGCTTCAATTTTTATTAAAATTCTTAGTCTTATTACTATTAGGCTCGAAATAATTTATTTCAAGCTTTGGTCTTCTGGGTCTAACTAATTTGTCTGAGAGGTATATACTGGAAATAAATGTTTAACAGTTAACCCTGCTAACGAGTTTTTATCTGGGAGGCTTATATATTACAGTGATTCATTCATTACCAGAACAAATCAGGCTATTTGAGTTGTGCTTTTAAAGGTTCTCTACACAATTCAGGTCCAACTATATTGAAACTGACAACACAAATATATTTCGCAACTCTATAACAGCCCAGCTCCCTGATTCACTACTTGCTAGAATTCCTACACAGAAATATGTTCAATTTACATTTACGGTTAGTGTCAGAACATTCCTAATTCAGCAGTGTGAGAAAGTTATAATGAAAAATTAATTCCATAAATTATTTATTCCTGGATGGAAAATGTAAGCTTGCACTTGAAAGCATATAATCAATAAAAAATATATATTTCATAAACCTCGCAATGCCATATTTCCACATTAGTTGTAGAATGACAAGCTGTTATGAGACAGTATGAAGAATAGCTTAGTGTTGCTGTGAGACCCTCTAATCTGCTTAGTGGCTTGAATGCTTTGATAATCAATGTACTTCAATATTTTCCCTTTTAGTCAATTGCAAATATTGAACAATTGCAAATATTGAACAAGCATTCTCTTTTG